GTAATCAAAACAATCCGGTATTTGCATAAAACCAGACACATGGATCAATGGAACAGAATATAGAGCCCAGAAATAAACCCATGCACATGTGGTCAATAATCTAGATTCAAGGAGGCAAGAATATACAATGGGGAAAGGTTTCTTCAATAAGTGGTGCTGGAAAAACCAGAGAGCTACATGTTAAAGAATAAAATTAGAACATTTTCTCACACTATATACAATAAACTCAAAGTGGATTAAAGACCTAAATCTAAGACCTGAAACCATAAAACTCCTAGAAGAAAACATAGGCAATACATTCTTTTACATAGGCCTTATCTATATATATCTGTATCTATATATTTTTTGGTTCTGTCTGCTCGGGCAAGGGAAACAAGAGCAAAAATAAATGAATGGACCTAATTAAACTTAAAAGCTTTGGCACATCAAGGGTAACCATCAATAAAACAAAAAGGCAACCTACTGAATGAGAGAGGATTTTTGCAAATGCTGTGTCTGATAAGGGGTAGATATCTAAAATATATAAAGAATACATATGACTCAATATAAAAAAGACAATTAAAAATGGGCAGAAGACCTAAAAAGACATTTTCCAATAAAGACCTACAGATAGCCAACAGGCATAGAAAAAGATGTTCAGTATCACTAATTATCAGGGAAATGCAAATCAAAACCACAATGAGATATCATCCCACACCTATCAGAATAGCTGATGTCAAAAAGATAAGAAATAACAAGTACTGGCAAGGATGTAGAGGAAAGGGAACCCTAGTACCCTAGGGTTGGGAATATGTTGGTGGGAGTGTAAATTGGTATAGCTCATATGGAAACAGTATAGGATTTCCTCAAAAAATTAAAAACAGAACTACCATATTATCCAGCAAGTCCACTCCTGGGTATATAGCCAATGAACTAATTCAAAATATATATGCACTGCAGTGTTCATAGTGGCATGATTTACAATAGCCCAGATATGGAAGCAAACTAAATAAATACCCATCAGTAGATGAATAGATAAAGATGAGGATACACACACACTCTCTTATTCACAATGGAATATTACTCAGCCATAAAAAGAAAGAAATCTTGCCACTTGTAACAACATAGATGGACGTGGTGGGTATTATGCTTGGTGAAATGAGTCAGACAGAGAATGACAAATACTGTATGTTTTCACTTATATGTGGAATCTAAAATATAAAATAAACCATATAATAAAACAGAAACTGACTCACACATACAGAGCACAAACTAGTGGTTATCAATGAGGAGAGGGTTGAGGGGAGGGACAAAATAGGTGAAGGGGATTAAAAGGTACAAACAACTAGGTATAAAATAAGATATAACAGGGTAATAACTAGCAGAGAAAATATATCCAATATTTTATAATACCTTTAAATGGAGTATAATTTGTAAAAATATTGAATCAGTATGTTTTACACTTGAAATAAATGTATTATTGTAAATAAACTATACTTCAATAAAAAAAAAGAAGAGTGAAGAGCAGCTTGCCTATAATACCATCACTTATAGAAATCATATTTGGGGATGCTGGGTTCTAAACGCTTTCTATGCATTGAGTACATACTAGGCAGACAATGCAGTGTTCTATATTTTTTGCATAAAACCTTCTAAAGTAAGACCCCCTGATTAATATAATTTTAATTGGTTACATATGATGATTACCATAATTTAACCGGTGAACACTATCCTTCTGTTGAAGACTTAGGTATATTTCTATTAGAGTTGTTATAAATGTTTTGAATAAATAAATGAAACAACCATCCTGCTTTGGAGAGAGAGAGAGATAGCTAGAGGTAGATCAACTGACAGAAGGATGTAATGGATGCAATGTACAGCACAGGCAATATAGACAATATTTTCTAATAACTTTATATGGAGCATAATCTGTAAAAATGTTGAATCACTATGTCACACACCTGAATCAAATATCATATTGTAAGTCAACTACACTTCAGTGAAAAATTGTTAACTCATTGGGGGAAAAATACCTCAGAATTAATGGAATATAAAATTCTGGTATCAGTGGACTGATGTTTGCATCATACTCATGCCAGAGATAGAAGTAGAAATCATGAACTGGAACAGAACACGCAAAGCAAGCCAGGGACCCACTGGAGAGGCCTGGCTTGAGATTGCCAGCAAGTACATAGAGCTGACTTCAGTCATATTAATGGGTCTAAACTTTCTCTTGCCTCTGCTACCGAAGAGAGTTTTACTCTGTAAAAACTTTAGTTTGTGAATTTGAAGACATTTTTTATACTACACTGCTCATCCACCATAGAATAAATCCAGATACAGAGAAGTTACGTGACTAACCTGGGGCTTAGACACTGGGGCATGAGTTATATGAATACTCAGTAACTTTGTCACAAATATAAAACCTTAGGAGTTCTAAATACAACAAGAGGCTTTTCTAGGATATTCTTGACTAAGTACAATTCTATCCAGATAAAGTAAAACCTTCAGAGAAGAACTATTTTGGACCCACACATGCTGGATGAAAAAGATAGAATGTCAGAATATGGCCAACACATTGGTGTTTTAGACCAGAAGACAGGTTATAATACTAAATAATAAATGTTCTTCTGGAGACCTACAGTACTTAAGTCACCTTAGAGAAAGACTTACACTCAGAAAGTAACTTACACTTTTGACAGCCTCCTCTAATATGTTTAATTCCAATGGGGTCTCCCACAGATGGCTGTGGGTTTTGTAAGTTACAGTTTTATCTGAAGTTTTATTCTGGCTTTTAAATCAGTGAAGTTAGAACCATAAAATGCATGCCTACACCCTGAGTTATCATCATTAACTTCAGTCCGTGTCAGGCCTGATATTTCAGAATGCTTGTTAGGCAGCACAGAAGTGTAATTCACGTGAGAAAGCCAAAGCAGGCAGTACTAACTTTTTGTGCAGTCCAGGTCAATTGGTTCACAAATACAACATCTACTAAAAGCCAAATAAGAACCAACTCCCAGAAAGACATTCCCATGTGGTTTGCCAGGACCTAGCTTAACAAACTTTGTAGGTTACAGCATGATCATTCATTCCAGCCTCAAATCTGGATTGGGCTACTCTCTTGACTGACTGTATATTTACTCATTCATCAAATAACGGATTAAGTAATGGAAATGAGTTAGACTTTGTGCCTTGAGCTGAGGACACTAAATCTGCCAAAATTAGACCTCTTCTTCAAGAAACATGAAGTCTTTTGGAGAAGCAAATACCTAAAGGAGACAATTATAATACCATGTGAAACATGCTGTAATAGAGGTTAACTACACGGTTTTATAGAAGCAGAGAAACAGAAGCCATTAATTCCAGGGAGGAACACCACAGAAAGACTACTATAAATGCTGGTAATTGAGCTGGCCTTGAAGGATAAGCTTACCTGGGAGAGAACACTGGGAAAAAAGGGTCATGAAAGGTCACCATGACAGGAAAGTGTGCGGCATATTTAAACACTCAAGTAGTTCGTTTTGTGTTTCTCCTATAACTGACATTTAAGTATCATTTGATACTGGATATCTTTAGTCCTTTGGTGAATACACATTTAATGTCGATATTTGACATAATTAATTTGGAAAGACCTTTGAGATTTAAAAGGGTACAACCCAAATCCAAAGTATTCTTTTATTTCTCATTGGTATAATCAGAATTTTCCAGGAACACCAGCAGTCTGGTTTCCATTTTATGCTCGAGGCTTCAAGTTGCAAATTTAAATTTGAAAAGCAAACCTGAAAGGTGTTGCTACAAGAAACATAAATATTTTTGGCATTGTTTAAAATTTATCATATTACTACAATAGTCATTACCAGTCTTACATTTTATTCCATCGGAAGTAACTGCTTCAAGGAATGTCATGATTTTGAACTACACATACTAAAGTATAATGTTAACTGTAAGGCATTTTATAGTTTTAAGTAGATGTTCATCAAGCCACTTTGTAAATTTGACTCAAAAAATCCACAAAAATCTATTTCAGTGGCTATTAGAGTTAAAGTTAATTAGGAAATATAAATAACACCACTTTACTCAATAATTAATGATAAAGATTGGTCAATAGAAACCACATTAAGGCTTTAAATATGAAGCAATTACAGACAACTCTTGGTCTGATTAGAGAAAAATCAACAAGATGCTAGCTTATGAAACAATTAAATTGGATTGGATGCTTTCTATTTGGAAGAAGAAACAGAATTCTCTATTTGAAATGATTTATAAGTGTTAGCCTTCTAAGTGTGCATAGTAAAATAATGATTAGTAATGTCTCCCTGTCCTTTACTTAACATATTAAATTAAGCAGTTGTATGACTTTTTAAAGTGCTGAGTCTATTATTTTAATATTGAAGTTTATATCATTGTTATGGCATTGAAAAAAATAGATCCAGACTCTCATTTTTATAAATACAACTTTTCCAAATCACTGAGAAAAAAAATCTGAGTAAAGATGTATAGAACAGGAAAACAAACAAAAAAAGATCAGTGAACATACATCAATTTTAAGAGTGAACCATGGTGCTTAGAAAATAAAAGAACAACAAAATGTAGTCTAGGACCATGTTAAATTCTCAGACTTCTTGCTATTATTGCATTTGACATGGTATGCCACCTGTTTACTTAGATTATACCCTTCACCTAATAGGATTTATTTTGTCACTTACATTGTTCTACCACCTTTAAGGGTGATCAGCTTGAACATTCATTAATGGTGGGTCTTTGAGCATCATCATTATCTTAACAATTATTGCTAGTCAACATTTATAAAGTGCTTATTATGCGGTATGTTAAAGTATTTAGTCATTAGCTCTTGATACTTACACCAATTTAATTTTATGTTGACTCTTCCTTTTTTGTCCTTTTGACTATCACTTTTGTTGTTTTGAATTGAATTCATTTATTTATATATATATTCATTTATTTATATATTTTTATATGTGTGTGTGTGTGTATATACATATATATTTTTTTTTTTAACCCCTGCTCCCTGCACGTGAGGATAGAACTGGTAGACTGGAAGCCACTGGTACCTAAGACAAGACACAGAGAGGACCAGAGCTCTTTCCCTCTACCTCCATTTATTACAGGGCCTGGGACTGCACTCCCAATCCCTGCCAAGAAAAGGAGGGTTGTTTTAACTGAATTTTAAGTCCTGTTTTATAAATCACCAGAGGCAACAGCAAATAAAATGGAAAGCTATTGAAAAATTTTATGCTATGTATGATACCCAAAGAAAAATGAAAGGTAAAATAAAGCACTCAATTAAAATAGTATTTTTAATAATATCAATCAAGACAGTGACTTATCATGGCCAAAAAACTAATACAGATGATCTATTTTCTTTTTCAAACATTTAAGTTCTTCTATGTCCTGGTATTACTATAAAAGTGCACATCTTAGAAGAAAAAAATATTAAGTTGTAGAAACAATTTTTCTGGCACTACACTCTAAATAATGATGTGCTGTATGTCAAAAAAAAAAATCTAATATGTAAAAATTGTGTCTTTTCTGGGAAGTCTTTCTGACCTAAAGCTTGAAACATTGTAGGCCGCATCTCATAATATACATCAGAATATGAAACTGTAAACTTGAATTAGGGAAAATTATTCTAAATTAAATTCTTTTCACATGCTTTGGAAAAACACTACTTACAAAACAATAAATTTTGCTATTTTGTATTGCATTTTGAAAGAGAAACGAAGAAAGGAGCAAACATTTAAGAGTGGGGAAGGAAAATAGGTAAATTATACATATAAATGAAAAAAAAAAAACCAAAACCAACTGGTAGATGTAAAGAGAAAAGATGCCCTCAACAGATTATTTTAAAATGACAGAAAATAAAAAGGAAGAAATTATTGAGTTGGTCAGGAAAAGAAAAGAAACATAAAAACAACAGCTAGTTAAATGTTGGCAGTCACTTTGTGAGGGAAAAAAGGCAGACCTCCCTGATAGTCTTGGCCCCAGTTCTTCTGTCTTATTTGTCTGTTTACCAAATACCTTCTTTTAATTAGCTTTTCTGTTCTCTGTAGGTAAAATGGTGTCTGAAGAGTAGTTGTTTGGCTCACCTTCATTTAGATAGTTAATCAGAAAGTCCCTCTGCTCCCTTCCTTTCTTCTTCTAGTCTACTGCTCTCTTCTCTTGTTCTAGATTTATTTGGGCTCTCTTTTGTCGAGTTACTGAGATCCCACCTTACCTGAAAGAATGATGCTTACATTTTACAGTATCATAATCCTAAAGTGCTAATGCCCGTTTTTTTAAGTGGAATATTCTAGTCCTAAATACCATTTATGACCCATTAAAAAATAACACTAGGTAAATAACAAAACATATGTATCACAAATGTATATAAAATAATGCATGCATGTAAAAGAATCCATGTATTTAAAATAACAACAATGTCCACGAATCATATGTAGCAATATTCACTAGTATTCACATCACTTTTCTCTCATCTCTCTCCCCCATACTATTTTCTCTTTTGCTTTCCTTTTTTAGTAAGAGGATAAAACTAATTCAGGGCGCAGCAGTCTTCCAACATTCACTGAACACCCACCAAGCATCATGCCTTCCTGCTGAGTGAGTTATAAATGGTGATAGGATGTCTGTTTGCTTGCTATTGGCAGGCTACTCAAGGAATGCAGTAACTGAAGACAAGATGCCTGCTATGATCCTTGACTAACTCTTCTCCTGCTCACGTGAATGGTGTCTTTGTCTCTTTGATAACTACTTTTGCTTAAAACTAGTGTAGAAGAATTTTTTTCCCTATATCTTGACTCCAGTGTTTGAACAGTACATTCATGTTATAAATGATTATGTGATGATGCACAGCCATTGACATCTAAGTTTCAGGGACATTAAAAAATATGCAAACTAATATAAATCATGGAAGGACAGGACAAGAATAAGGAGATTTAAATTTTTTTCATTTCTGGATGTTCAAACTACATAAAGATTGTTTTTACTATTACTTACGAGATCATTCATAGATATTTCTGTAACATAGAAAGGTTGATTAAATGTGGAATGATTATTTTATTTCAGTATATTATTTTGTTTCATTTTAAAAAAGAATTATATACTATTGAAAGCGATGTGAACACTTCATTTTAAAGGAATCTGGCAGAGGTCCTAATCTGGAAATTCCTAAAAACCTAATTTTTATTGTTCACTCAGTAACAGTTAACACCGAGTAAAATAAAATAGAGATGCCTAATGAGAATTGGAAGTTTTCTACATTGTGAAGCAAAATGTGGGACTTTCCATGAAAAAGACTATCTCAGGGATTCTAATAATTGATAAGCAGAAATAATATATAACCATAATCTTCTCATTTGATTTACTGTTACCAGGATGCAATGTGGGCAAACAATGAGATCTCAGAAGGAAAGTTTCTCTTCTTGTGTTTTTGTTTCTTTTAACCTGAGGTTTTGGTTTTATTCTGTTTGGCTTTTGCTAAGTCAGGGAGTAAAAGTTTCAATGATTTATTCCTAGAGAAAATTTCCTAATATGAAGTTTCTCATTTTATTAATGATGCGTCTTACATAAAAGAAACTTTGAGGAATACTTTAAGCCATACATACTTTCAGAATAAAATTCACAAACTTTTTTAATGGAAAATACTTACGTGATGTACATTTTTAATGGTACCTAATCAATCTGTCTTCCTATAGTGGCTTCCTTGAACCAGAAATGTTTACCAAATAAATTAATTTCACATGTTTCCATAAATAACTAACATTCATCATTCACCATTCAAGTTGAAGACGCTCAATATAACAAAGTGCATCTCAATATTCTTATCAATTCACCAAATTGAAAATCAATTTAACTAAAAACAAATCATGGAGAAATGTGACTCAAGGTAAGTTACTCAAAATATTTAGATTATTGAGAAAAAACTGCCTTGACAAATTGGAATTATTTTCATAATTAATTTCTAAATCCATTTCACCTTAATTCCATTTCTCTTAATATAGACATGCCTTGAATGAATATAGGATAGCTCTCTTTCCATTAATTAGCTTAATATCATTCATTTAAATATAACATTTAGTGATTTTTTTCCTATGATTAGAATGTAAATGTATTAGAACATATCCTACCTTTTATTAGTTTTATATATATTTATGAAGGGTAAATTACTCTAAAAATAAATTTGGAGAGTATTTTCTTCACTTTGGGGATAAGGCAGTGTATGGAAAAAGTCAATTGCTGCCTTAAAAAACAAGTCCTTTCTGCACTGCCTGTTTAGATCTATTACAAACTTTAATGACTAAGTAACTGCTTTTATGAACTACATTTCTGGCCAGCTCCATCTGCTTTCATTTTCCAAACAGCCTGGTGAAGCAAACAGAGATAAGCAGGTAATAAAATATTTGACTGAATCACTACCTCGAGGGTACCACCAAAATAAAAGGCATCGTGGTGATATTTAACACTGGAGATTAAAATCTAGAATTGTTTATTTTCAGGAGTTGAAATTTCAGCATTCTCTCACAAAATAAGAGAATTAATGAAAACACTCGGTAAGAGAAGTGTTTCAGACATCATAATATAAGTAATAAAACAGAAATCCTAACATTCCTTAGCTGAAATGACAAATTCAAAGTCACAGTACAGGTCCAGATGGCTCTGGTGAGTCAAGTAACAGAGTAGGGCAGGTATGATACAGATAAAGCAGTGTAGTGACAACTACAGGATTGGCAAAGAAATATTCACCAGATTCAAACAATACACTAAACTAGGACAATGGTAACTGTTTTAAGTAGGAAAAGATCTTGGGTTCATATTTGGCACTGACATACAGCCTTTGTAGTAATGAGCCATTTCATAGGAATTGTTTGTTTGGCTTAACATACGAAATTCATGTAATGGTAGGCTGCTTGCAAAGATGGATGTCATGTTCCACCTCTCTGTACCCATACCTCTTTGCAGTTTAACTCTGCAGCTCTTCCAACAAGAGTAAACCTGATAGACTAGTTACACTTGGGATGGCCTTGTGACTTTCTCTGACCAATAGAAATAGAATGTAGTCTCAAGAAGCCTTACTTGCACCTACTCTCATCCCTGGAATACTGCCAAGACCCCCCATGAACAACAGGCCTAGCTTGTTGGAAGACGCAGGACGCCTGGCCCAGTTACTCACATTGCCTCAGCCGCAGCCAAACACTAGGCATGTGAGTGAGGCCACATTAGTCAGCTCAGGCACTGCCAGGAGATCTCAGACACATAAAAACCGGTATCAGCCAAGCCTGGCCCAGGCTGGAGGAGCCACTCCTCTGATCCACCGACTCAGGAGTGATATTAATGATTGTTGCTTTAAGGCTTGGAAACTAGGGCCCACAGTCTGGCTCCCTATTTTTGTACATGAAATTTTATTAGAAAGAGACACACCCTTCTGTGCACGTATCGTCTACAGCTGCTTTCTCACTTCAACGGTAGAGCCAGACAGTTGGAACAGAGAACTTACAACCTAAAAAGCCTAAAATAATTGCCATCTGGTCATTTATAGAAAAGATACGCTGAACTCTATTTTAAGCCACTAATTCTGGGGTGGATTGTTACCCCAGAATAGGTAAACATATACATTTAGCTAAATATTCCCAGAAATGTTTGCTTCCATTAAATCTAGTGTCACACTGTATCATTTACTTTATAATAATTTCTAGACCTTTGAATTTCACAATTATTTGTTGAACAACTGTTTAATTATTGAGTATCCAATATAAGCCATTACTGCACAAGGTGCTGGTCATACCACCATGGTGATAGGTTCAAATGAAATAGTATCGGGGGAATTAGGAAAAGTAACAGAATTGCTTAAGCAAACACTTGAAGGAGATAAAGCAATGGGATATGCAGTTATCAAGGAGAAGACAGTTCCAAGGAGAAGGGATGGCAAGTGCAGTGGTCTTGAAGCGGGTAAGGTCTGATCTGTTCAAACCACAGGGAAAAGACAAGGCCAAAGTGAGTAAGGAGAAGTGTGATAAATGCTGAGTGCAGAGAGGTAATAGGTTGGTGTGAGAGATGCTATGACTGATTCTGTAAGGTTGTATTGACCAGTAAGTTACACACTGCTGAGCTCTTGGGATGGAGCTGGTCCAAACTGAGATGTTTTGTTAGTGTAAA